TTGTGCTATTAAATAACATATTTTTATAGAGATGTTATTTTTATAATTATAAAGATATTTCAGTTAATGTATTTTGAAAATCAAAGCAAAGGATATTGTATAATTTATTTTTAAAAAGGCAAAATTACACTTAATATCATGACTTTTTTAGAAATTACAATTTAATCATGACATTTTCACTTTTGCAAATTATATCACAATCTTCAGTTTATTGCAAATTGGTGCACCGATTTACATATCCCGTGCAAACTATATCACAATCTTCAGTTTGTTGTTCTACCACATCAGTTTTTCTATGACTATTTTCAGGCTGTTCGCAACAAACTAAAGGTTGTGATATAATTTGCAAAAATGAAATGGCCATAGTTAAATTGCAACTTTGGCCAAGGTTGTAAAAGCACCCACAATGCTTTGGGTTTCTTAGAAAAAAGTTACATGCCATGTAAGAAATAGACTTAGTCTATAAAAAAGTGTTCTCCAATGCAATTAAAAGTGGACCTAGTCTAGCTTATGTGACAATAAAAAATGAGACCTAGTCCACACTTGGGTCTATTTTAGACCCAAGTACAAACCCAAGCACTCATCATTTATTCCTCATTTAATTTTTCTTTTAATAAATGAAATATACTAGAGCATTTTTATTGGTTGTCATGTATTCTAGACCTAGTACTTTTTTATTTTGCATTGGATAGATTTTGGTTTTTTTAGTTTAGGTTTGTCCATGTCATTATGGACTTAAGTTTATTTATTTGCCACATATGCAAAAAGAGACCCAAAGCATTGTGGATGCTCTAAGGTAAATTTGCCCTTACAAAAACATATACAATGTTAAGTCCTAAAAATGAATAAAAAAGTAAAAATAAAGTACGAATTAATTTTATTTGAAAAAGAGGCCATCATTAGGTTTCATTTATTAATACATTATCGCAAGGGGTCTCCACTATAAAAGCCTCACGTTTCATTTCACCATTAGTCGTGGCCTCGCGTTTTGATTCGTCCCGTCGTGGAAAGAAGAGCTTCGGATCTCAGAGTGAGCTAAATTTGGGTGGTGCTCAGGTTTCCGCCCAATCGCCGCCGATCTCTCAGCCTGCTCCTCTTCCCCGACGTGAATATTCCCTTGCCATGGCTTTCTCCTCAGACCGCCAGTCGCTCATTCCCAGCTTCATTTACTCTACCTCCTTCACTTCCAAAACCCTAGCCCTGGACAGAGCTGCTGGAAACCCCAGCACTGGCCTCGAGCCGTCACGGTCGCCGCTGGCCCCCAACAAGAGTTTCATGATTCCCGCTCCCAGCGAGCCGGGCAAGATTGAGATGTACTCTCCGCAGTTCTACGCTGCTTGTACTGTTGGTGGTATACTGAGCTGTGGTCTTACTCATATGGCTGTCACTCCTCTTGATCTCGTCAAATGTAATATGCAGGTCCGGATCTGTTCGCTTCTTCTTCCTTTTTTTAGATGCTGGTTTTGCCTTACATCTGATATGGTCGAGTTGCACTTAGATTAGATCTATTTATTCTCCTTTTCTTGTATATAGGTATCGTTATAGTTCTCTTTCATATGTAACTTGGCATCTTAGGAAATGATTCTGTTTTTACATATTTATTATGCCGATTTGTCGCCATGGGTGGTTTAGAGTAGATCATGTTATCATCATGCCTTTATCCCGTTGTTTAGATGATAGGCTTCATTATAATTGTATTTCTCATATAACTTGTGGGCTTTGGACTTATTCTTATGTGAGAATTGTCACAACCTGTTTCAAACCTACAGATACAAGTCGAGCCAAAGATTTTATCCTTAAAAGTTCTTGAGATTGAATGAATATGATTTGAATTTTGGGTTGGAGTGATGGAGGGAAGGCGCCCTTCAAACATTTCGATCTGCTTAACTGTGTCCTTTATTCATACATCCGATACTTGTTGTATCATAATATCATTATTCTTTGTGACACCCAAGAACTAGAACCTGGATCTTTGTATTTATCTGGGGATTCTGTTGCGGGCGTATACATTGCTGGTTGGGTTATGAGTGTTGGATACACATATAGACAGACTGATGTAACTGAAATCTCTTTTGCATGTTTTTAGATTGACCCTGCAAAGTACAAGAGCATCTCGTCAGGTTTTGGAGTATTATTGAAGGAGCAGGGAGTAAGAGGTTTCTTCAGGGGATGGGTGCCTACCCTGCTTGGGTACAGTGCTCAGGGTGCCTGCAAGTTTGGATTCTATGAATTCTTTAAGAAGTACTACTCAGACCTTGCTGGACCAGAATATGCATCTAAGTACAAGACTTTGATTTATCTTGCTGGTTCTGCATCTGCGGAGGTGATTGCTGATATTGCTCTTTGCCCTCTTGAAGCTGTGAAGGTTAGAGTCCAGACTCAGCCTGGCTTTGCTAGAGGGTTGTCCGATGGACTTCCCAAGTTTGTTAGATCTGAAGGTGCTCTTGGGTATGTACATGCACTCTGATCTGTTCATTATTAAAGCTGAGTGGTGGGGTCATAGTTCGTTAACGTTTGCAGGTTGTACAAGGGCTTGGTTCCACTTTGGGGGCGTCAAATTCCATGTAAGTTGAGAGCTGCTAGTTTTTCATTGCACCAGTTTCTTTCGTTTTCTAAACACTTAAACGCCATGCATGTTAACATATCCCAGCTGTATTTCAGTGCTGGAGTTGGTATCTATTGGATTAGAACACAGAATTGCTATGTTAAGAGAATTGTTTCATTGAGTAATGAGAATTTTATCATTTTGTATTTGTTCACCTGTGCTTTGTGAATGAGATGGTGCTAAATAGCTTGATATTGCTTGCCGTGCTAGATTCCTTTGCTATCTCCATATTGAAATAAACCAATTTGTCCACACTGAATTAGCTTCCTAATTGATTGTACACAGAATCTTGATGTCGTCTTTTAAGCAATGATTGAGTTAGGATTGAAGTTAGTATAAATTGCTTTGCACATAGTTAACAGATGTTTTTAAGTTAGTCAATTTATCTAAAGGTGTTGTCTCCTAAATTCTGAAGAAGAAAGCGTATTTCAAAATTTATAATGTGCTCCTTGGGATTACGGGGCGGCTGATTCTTCTATCATTGAATAATTCCTTGTTTTTGGTGGTTCGTGTATTGTGCTAGTTTGTGTTTTAATTCATGGAACCGTTTGACTTCTTTTTTTTACATAATTAGCTGACTGTGTGTAGTGGCAAAGTTTCTCCGTCTTCTAATGCTATAATTTTTATATAACAAATGTGTAATTTATCTTCAGATACTATGATGAAGTTTGCCTCTTTTGAGACCATTGTGGAGCTCATCTACAAGCATGCAATCCCCACACCCAAAAATGACTGCAGCAAGAGTCTACAGCTTGGTGTGAGTTTTGCAGGTGGCTATATTGCTGGTGTTCTATGTGCTGTTGTGTCACACCCCGCTGATAACCTCGTCTCTTTCCTCAACAATGCCAAGGGTGCTACTGTTGGTGATGTGAGTGTGTTTTGCTGTAGTCCATTTCTGTTACCTTGATTCTCTCCATTTGCCTTTAAATTTTGCATGACATATATTTACTACTCTTCCTCCATTTCTTATCTCCCTCCTATTTATATAACAGTTTCCTTGTACCTTCTCTTACAGGCCGTAAAGAAGCTTGGATTGTGGGGTTTGTTTACCCGAGGACTTCCTCTTCGTATTGTCATGATTGGAACCCTCACTGGGGCTCAGTGGGGTATCTATGATGCTTTCAAAGTTTTTGTTGGGCTGTAAGTTATTTCCCTGGCTCAAATTACTATGAAATAGGTTTTGCAGTTCCGTACATATCTTGTTCTTGAGAAGCTAACTTGTTGTACCTTTTCTTTTCATTTCCAGGCCAACAACTGGTGGTGCTGTGGCTCCTGCACCAGCTGCCACAGAACTTGCAAAGGCTTAAGAGTTGGTAGAAATATTGATGAAGTACAGATTATGAGAAGAGGCAATAAAATTAAGATTCTTGAGTGTGGCTGGCACCTGGCTGATGGAGAATATGAAAACATTTCTACGGTTTTTTTTTTTTTTTTTTCTGATAATTTGGTATTATGGAGTACCAATCTTCCACCAATTGCGTGTTATTTTGTCGAACTAGTTATAATGTTTTGAAGGATTGTGAAAGATCTCCAGAGCATGAAAATAATAGGCAGTTGCTGAACATTAGCACTGTTGGGTTATTTTTTTTCCAGAGATGTAGGTGGCCGAGGATTAATTTCTCTCAAACATTGTGGGTGTAGGAGTTTTGCTTATTTCATTTTCCTTGAGCGTTCATCTTATCTTACATTCAATGATATATCAGGGCTTTTGGTGGTTTCTTTTATTTTTTGGTTTGATTTTGTTAATTTGTTTTGCAATGCGCTCATAAACTATAGGCTACTATAGATTACCAAATGGCAATACCAACTGATGTGGTCGTTAGTAACGGCTCATGAGGGACCGGTTGTGACCCGGGTTCTAGTCGCACTCAACTGGGTGGTTCAATCCGGTAGGCACGGTCCATGGTACCTTTGGGGTACATGGGTGGTAGACGGATGCTTTGGTAGGCGGACATTTTGGTAGGCGGATGCTTTGGTAGGTGGAGGCTAGCTCAGCGTGAGTTAGGCAGGGTACCTTGGCACCTAGGTGGCCGGACGCTCCGCTGAGGAGACCCTAGCCCGAAGGGGATATCGTGCCCAAGTCATGAAGAGGTTCACAGCATCAAGGATTTTTAGAATTTTGACCTAATCTGGTGGGAAGACTCCTAGTATGATAAGAACTCTTCAACCGCCAAATGACTTCATCTATAAAAGGTGCACAGGTTATTTCATTTACACGACACACACATACAAATTCTCTCGTTACTCTGCCGCTTTTTCTTCGGATCACCACTGACTTGAGCGTCGGAGTGTTCGCGCCGGGACCACCCCCGGCGTGTTTTGCAGGTACCGGCGATCAAGGAGGCGTAACCCGGTTCGAAGAGGAGCGGTCCAGCGGTCCAGGTTTGTGCGGTATAACACCAACGGTATGGAAATCTCCATAAATTCATAACATAGGTAAAATCACATTTCATACCAGTCATGCTCAATCTTGATACCCAACATTTCTAACTTAATCACTTCTATTCATCACAGTATGCCCATGTCATCAGTTTTAGTACTCAGCCAATTGATTGTGAATCAGTACTGATATACTTGTTGAGATAGATCAAACCCTCTTTTGAAAGCAGGTAAAATGTGTCTTTCTAATCGTGAATGAGTACCGATTTTACTTGTTGAAATAGATCAAGCCCTCTTTTGAAAGCAGGAGAAGTGTGTCTTTTTACCATTTCATTTTTTTGGATCGATTGATCAAAGTCCTCTTTTGGATACAGGAGAAGTGTGCCATTCTACCATCCCACTCGATCAATCGAGGAAACAAAAACTTAAAGAGTTGAGTTCTTCATTGGGAGTCCGGAGAAGTATGGCTTTGTACCAATTCACTTGATCAACGGAGGAAACAAAATGAAAGAATCAGTTCTTGACTGAGGAGTTGGAAAAATCATGTTGCTCCAAATATGGATACGACGTGAAGATGTACTTCAAAATCTCTTGAACCTAAAAAAATCCATAAATGAGATATTAGGCATGCCATAAAGATGAGGTAAACTGTTTGCGAAAGTTCTAGTATTTCTCTTTTAATGGCTAAAACAACAAACATTGTTAAATTTTTGTAGAGATTTGGTCATTTTGTGGATGTTTTACATGGTTGGATCCACAAATTTGTGAAAAGAGACTAGGAACATTATACCCCGTTTGTTGGGAAAATTGAATAAATATCAATTGAGCAATACAAGATTGAAAGAAAGTGAAGCAGAAGCCTGTTTGTTGGTTGAAATGAGGAAGATGAAAGACAAGAAGAATGAGCTTATTGTGTGCAATGATAGGACTGGTGAATATGTGGATTGCAATAACTATTCTCTCATAATTATTGTTGAATCTAAAATTTTATATTAATCAGATTTAGATAAATGTAACTATAGAAGAATACAAGGCCTCTATGGTTGTTTGCAGTTTTTGTTATGTAAAGAGTTTGGAACTTTTTATTTATTTATTTATTTATTTTTGGTCGAAACCTAAGGAACTCAAATATATAGACAAGCCAAAGAGTTTGAGACTATAGCCTCACTACAAAAAAAAGCTTTTAAACAGAGAGATAAAAAGGCAAAGCTAAAGCTTTGAGACTATAGCCTCACTACAAACCATCTGAACAATGCAAACATTCAACATAACCACAAGAAAGAGGACAAGTAACCATTGAACCTAAGGAACTAGTTTCTTCTCTTCTTTCCCAAGTCAAAGAAATTAACCTGCAGAAGAAAAAGTATGCACATCTAGATATTCTTTCCGCTCGGTCACAACAGCCTGAATGACGACTCCTTGGAACATCCACAAGTTTTTGGGCTTCTAGAGCCACTAAAGGATGTATATTGCAAACTGTATCATGACCTCGAAAGCTTTCTTTCTGTCTATAGAGCATATATCCCACCACGAGGTGCTGGTTTCCAAACTTGTATTTCTTTCCTACACTTGAAGAAATATGTTCAATAGTCTCTCCCTCTTCCCCATAGGACTTACAAATGACATCTATAGTCATTCCTCTTTTCTGCACCTCCACCTTTGCTGGTAACACTCATGAATAACACTTTCATATGAAATGTTCGATTTTTTTTCATTTAATTTGCATCCCCAGCTTCTCTTCCTCACCAATTTGTCATAAGTAGCATAAATACTTCCGATATGTCAAGGTTCTTTATTTTATCTAGAATACATTTAGAATAAGTTGCAGCCAGTGAGAATTTACATGTTGCTTCAAATGCCTAAGTCCATCTATCTTTCATCTCAGGATTCAACGTTTTGATTTTGAGTATTGCTTCACAGTCTTCTGCTCGGAATGTCGTCTTCATCAACTCTGAATTCCACTGTCTATCACCACTTAAGAGAAGTTCCCCCCACCAAGATTAAGTCCAAAGCCTCTGCATTCTTTGTATGAGGTATACCTGACTTTAAGATAAGAACTTATGGAACTGTCACAATTTTTGTACTCCACCTATCTTTAACCTCCATTCTAAAGCCCTATTTATAGTTATCCTTAACAACAACCAAACTACTACAAACCCAACTACTACAAATCCAAGAAGCACTAGCTGTAGGTTTTCTTTGTATCAAAATTTGAGGAGTCTACGATATACTTACTTTTCAGAACCTTACTCACCCGAACATTTAGCTTTGTGGAAATTCTCCAAATCTGTTTCAGGATAAGAGTCATTAAAGAGCTTTATGTTCTGGAAACCCAAACCTTTCAATTCTTTAGGCAATGTGATCAGTTTACAAGACCTCCAATGGAGACTAGGCTCTTGGATATTCCCTTTTCTCCACCAGAAATCAGCACAAAACTTAGTAATCTCCCTGCAAACTCCCTTTGGCAAACAAAAGGAAGACATAACAAAAAATATGGAAGAACATTTAGCATAGATTATCAAAGTTTGGAGTTTGGTTCCATAAATTGTTTTAATGAATAAATTTACTTAATTCTTGCACAACCTGTTAAGTATAGAGTCTGTCACTTGATAATGACAAATTATAGCTAAAAAAAACTAATAAACAGTTTGTTATTCCTAGTAAACAAATATCTCATACAAATCTCCAGTGCAACATGACTTAATATGCAACACAAAACAACATTGCCTATTAAAATTGTTTTAATATGACATGCAACATTTTGTTTTAAACCAAGATATTAAACATTTTCTTTCCAACATAAAACTAAAATTATTTACATCACATGAAAAGAATACAACCCTCAAATAGCCTTGTGCCCCTCATTATGCTTTGATCTACTATCAACTCTATTTGAAGTTCTCTAAGTAGTTGTTGCTCTTAAATTTGAAAGACTTAGGTAATTATCACCTTCTATCATGATTGTTATCATCCGACTCGGTAATTCACTGTTATGAGCCTCAAACAGCGCTTAGGCAACTTAACACTTACACCGACATGGTCCGAAATCACCCCGGTTCGCATGTCAAACCGGTATAACCATAGAAGACCGAAGTAATCACTATCAATCGAGGTCACCCCCAACCGAGATCAATATGAACCGAGGTCACCACCTCCTAAGCTGGTGACAAGGCGCCTACACGCCATTCTCACAAATCACGAGATCAGGTGGGACCCGCTGACAAATGCCGCCCATCAAAAGTAGCTTTATGAAAAAAGCAATGCACGAATCCCGATAAGTATCCCAAAAAGTTACTATAAATAGCAAACTCATAATACTTGTACGGGATTCGATCCCCGAACCGAACTTTTTATGATGAAACACGAAACAGCTCACAGAAGCTTTTCACCTCGGTTCACCTCGGACCGGGGCCATTGTTGAGTATTTCATACATACCTTACGTTCAAATCACTAATAATCATCAAGTAAATCTATCATCACATCGTTGTTAACAATCGCATAACAACAGTTTGGCGCTAGAAGGAAGAGGGGCCCTCATAAGTTGTTTGAGGTTAATCTCCGATTCTTGTTTTATTACCCACATCAATCGCTGCGACCATGTCTCATTCAGACCATCGTGGTCATACATCGCGAGATGGCCACAGTCGTAGTGCCGCTGAATCCGCCAGACGCCAAGCAACGGCCCCCAATATACCAGATTATACTGTTCTGTTCCAAAATCTGGAGTTTGCACGTGGGTTCGCCGCTCTGATGGCTCGAACAATCCCAGGAACATCAACGACTGCACCAGGACATTCCATAATACCCACGACTCCCGCGAATCTGCAGATTCCACCGGCGCGACAAGATGGTGACAGAACCACCTCTCACGCCACGTCTCAACCTCGCAGTCGAACGTCGCAGCCGCACCCAGAGCAAACCACATGT